GGGTTTCAAGCCTTAGGGCTTAGAGGTTTTAGTTTTGGGGGTTTAGGGTCCCAGACCCAGTGCTTCAAATTATGATCAGGCTTTAGGGGTTAGGGGTTTAGGGGTTTCGGGGTTTCGGGGTTTCGGGTTTAGGGTTTAGGGTTTAGGGTGTAGGGTGAAGGGGATGCCTCAGGGTTTAGGGTGCTGGGGTTCCGGGTTTAATGCAGGGGCCTCAACCATTTCCAATACTATTGTGCGGTTCCTTATAATACAATGGGCCCCAGAACTCTATTCCAATTACTAAGGCCCCTATATTAAGGTTTTAAGTAGGTTGCTTACACCCTAACCCGGAACCCCAACCTTAAATTAGGGTTTAGGGTTTAGGGGTTCCGAGTTCAAGGGCTTTTGGCCTTTAGCTGTACCTCAGACTACCATAATCTACTTTTTGTAGGAGCTTATTGCAAACCCCGAACATGGGATGTGTAGGGAGCCTAAAAAACGCAAGTTTCGGTAGGGCCTACCAGGCCCCCCAAGTGCCTGTCAAAACAGACCTTATTGTCCTCAATAGTCTTTCGGGTTTAGGGTTGAAAGTGGGTAGGTGGGGTAGTATAGCTGGGGTCTTGATAGTGTCCACGGTTCCATTTCCAGCCGCTTAGGACAGGAATGACATGTTGAATGTAAAAGCCTAAACAACACCAATATTATTCCTTAGGGTTCCTTCTGATCGCTATAACTATACAAGAAGGAGGGAATGAATGCTCTCTAGCAAGCAGCAGGTTGCTGATGATGTGGGAGAGTTCGCCTCTAGATTCGGGGTCCTTGGTATTTGGGTTTAGGGTTGAAGATTTAGGGTTTAGGGCTTAGGGTCGAGGGTTTGGGGTGTAGAGCTGAGGCTCAGGGACGCGCACACTTCAAGTCCAAGGTCCTGAAGCCTTAGCCCTGTATACCACACTCCCTTACGCCGCATCTGTCACAGGTAAATCACCTTCGGGGCTTAGGGTTCAGGGCAGACCCCATCGACCCCCCAACTACGCTCTATTGTACCCTAATAATGTAGGGGCCTTCATAATTAGAATAGGGTTTTGGGGCCCACTATACTATAATTAGAATGAAAGAAATATTGTTGGTAACAATTTGGGCCCATAGTACCCACCGCTAAGGGCCATCAGGGCTCTCTGAAAGGACCGTCCAGCTCGTGGGGTTGCAAACTGCCGGCTTGAGCCAGAGGACCCCGAGAGCCAAGCAGAAGTAGCGTTTTAGGGTTTAGGGTTTCAGAATCCGACAGCGACGAAGTGCCTCCCGATTTGTTAGGGTTTAGAGGCTTCGGGTTCAGGGTTTAGGGGTTTCGGGGTAAGCACGCCTCGACTGTTCGTCTGTATGACCTCATCACCCATAGCGATGCCAGACCTGAAAACTCTTACACCTTTGTGTAAACCTGATCCGTGCCTGCCCGCAAATCCTAAAACCGTAGAAACCCGAAGCCCCTAACCAAACTTAAGCCGCAGCGCCCGACCGCCCTGAAACCAAGACCTGTAGAGTGCCGAGCACCTAAAACGTAAACCGTGAAGGCTGTAACGGCCCAAGGATATTTGCAACAGAGCTACGGCGCGGCCTTTGGCGTGCTCCTGGGTGTTGGCCCCTCGGCGTGGGTGTTCTGGAGTTTTTGTGGGTTTATGTTTGGTTCATTCGGCCGGTTTAGGGATTTGTTCGGGTGCCCAGGGGTTTATTTGGGTTTAGGGTCATTGGGTTTAGGGGTTTATTCGGGCCTAGGCGTTGGTTAAGGGCTTAGCTGCCCGTTTAGTCTGAGATTTGGATTTCAGGATTTGGCGAAACTTGAAAATCGAGTTTCAGGTTGAGGCTTTTCGGATAGAGGATCGCGGAAAGTGCTTGGCCTCGTAGGTTTCAACGTAGGTTTTAACTTGGGCCCTACACCCTAAGGGTCCAAGTACCTAATAATCATATACTCTCCCAAATATTAACCTAGATAACTACTATCCCTAACCAAAGTACCTAATTAATTGCTTGGAGGTTCATGGGTGGTTATAAGTGGAGTTATAAGTCCCCTAATATGGGTTATAATTATAGTTGCCCTACTTTTAACCCCACTTATAGCTACCCATGAACCTCCAAGTGGGCCCTTTGGACCCTTAGGGACAGCTTCAGGGTGCCGGACTACCGTGTCCGAGACCTTTGACAGTCAAGGTTCTGGCTACAACAAATCCCGAATAGAACCCTTATGGATCCCTTTAAAGGAGCCCTTTTCAGGAACCCCAAAACCCTGTTCTAAATTCTATATAACACTAAAGCTGGTGGATTTGGGGCTTAAGGTTTGGGTTTGTTTGGGGGGTTCCGGCCCTCAGGAGTCGTTCGAGCCAGCCCTAAACTTAGGCCCTAGGCCCTAAACCCTAATCTCCAAGCATTGATCCCCTCTAATCCCTAAGCCCTAATCCCTAAGCCCAGAGCCCTAAACGCTATAATCCCTAAGCCCTAACCCCTAAGCAGCCCCAATCCCTAAGCCCTAAACCCCATAATCCCTAAGCCCTATAAACCCCAATCCCAAAGCCCTAAACCCCATAACCCCCAAGCCCTATAAACCCCCCAGAGCCTCCAAAACCCCTTCATTAAGGAATATACCTTAAATTACAATAGGAACTCTAATAAGGTTTAAGGTATGTTCCTAAACCCTAAACCCTAAACCCTAAACCCCTAAACCCTAAACCCTAAACCCTAAAGGGTTCTCTGGGAAGAGCAGGTGATGGGAGACGTGCCCTGGAGCTGCTCTCCTCATGGCCGCAGCTTGTCGGGGTAGGGGCTTCGGTATTTTTAGGGTTTGACCTGGGGATCCAAAAACCTACCGTTTTAAGGGTTCTACCCTCTAATTAAGGGGTCATAACCTAGTATTTTTAGGGTTTTTCGGCTTTAGGACTTTAGGGTTTAGGGTTTTAGGGGTTTAGGGTTTAAGGGTTTAGGGTTTAGGGGGTTTATGGTTTAGAGTTGAGGGTAAGCACTTACTCAGAGGATCGTGGGACTTAGTAAATAGTTCATGGTTATAAGTACCCCCATTGGGCTTCTATGAGGTCACAACTACAGCTACCTTATGGTATAACCCTGGTTACTAAGTCCCATGACCCTCGAAGGTAGGCACTTTAGGTGGGGGTGAGGGCATAGGCCTCCCTAAACCCCAAACCCTAAACCCAAAGTCTGGTACTCAATACCCTAAACCCTAAACCCTAAACCCTAAACCTTAAACCCAAGCCCTAAACACTACACTAGGTTTTTGTTTTGAGGTTTCGTAGGGTTCATGGCCATCGTTTCCATAAGTCTGGAGCCTGCAGGTTTGTGCCACGGTTTAGGTTTTAGGGTTTAGAATTCAGGGTGTAGGGGCCTTAATAATTAGAACAGGGTTTCGGGGCCCATTATACTATGATTCTTATAACGAACCCCCAAAACAGTATATAGGTAATTATTAAGGCCCCTTATCCCTATATCACTCTTTTTTAAATTGCAAGGAAAGAGCACGTTTTCCTACTTGAGAGACTGCTGGTTTAGCGGGGTTCCCTTGCTTGCGGGCTCTACGTCTATGTCTATGGGTGATTGGGGGTTGAGGGCCGGCGCCACCGCAACTTCGACATGGACCTCTGGCGTTTCAAGGGCCGTCCCTCCCTAAACACTGTGCTACCTTTCGCCCGCCCACGTCTTCTAGCCATGGCCGGAGAGCAGCCCAAGAAGCCGACGGGAGGAGCCTACGGCATCTTGGGGGTACTTAGAAATACTTTTGAATCTTTGGCTACTATAAACCCTATATAAGAAGCCGCTACAATTCTAATCTTTGCTAGGGGTCTAAGTTCAGTATAGGCATCTGGCTTCAAGAGAACAGGGCGGAGTTGGCGAAGGAGGTGGGCCCCGGGAAGCGGGCGTCCGAGGTGGCCAAGCTTGCTGGATCCCGCTACAAGGAGATCTCTGAGGACGTGAGGGCCGAGTGCCAGAGGAAGTTCGAGGAAGCCAAGGCCAAGTATGAGGCGGACATGAAAGCCTTCATCGATGCAGGCGGCGAGAAGAAGGGCATCAAGAGAAAGGCGGACAAGTCCGGGAAGAAGAAGAAGGATCCGGCGGCTCCGAAGAGGCCAGCCGGCGGTGCCTTCGGCTGTTTCCTTGCCAAGAACCGGGCAGCTTTCACTGAAGAGGTGAAGGGCCAGCCAGTCACTGCCATCACCAAGCTTCTAGGATGTTCAGTAGTATCAATTTCTACTTTTCTGGTTATTGGTTCCTAACATACCCAAAAAAGTATAGACTGTTTCCCGATTGGTTACTGCACAGCTTAGGCTTGCTTCGGACAGATGGAAGCAGCTCGGCGAAAGTGAGAAGAAGGTCTTCCAAGAAGAGTACGAAAAGAAGAAAGCCGAGTACGAAGAGGCCAAGAAGTCCTACGTGCCGCTGCCAAGCGCTGAGGACGAGACCGAGAAGCCTGCAACCAGGCTGAAGCAGTGGTCCTGGATCTCAAGCTTAGTGGATTCAGCCTCCTTTCCAGTTCCCCGATGTTTCTGCTTTCCCTATTTCGCCATACGGTCTACAAGAATGACGACGTTGAATCTAGTCGTGTTACCCAGGTCGACGTGTGTCTGTGCGTGCGCACTTTGTCGAATTGTTGAGTTTTTGGGCCAACAATCCAGAGCCACCGCTGCTGAACAGACCAAGCACACAATCACAGTCACACACAAACACACGCAGGCACGCCTATGCACATGCACGCAGCACTTGGGATTTGTCTCGCCATCCGCTCTTCATAGGAAAGCTGCTACACGTCTTGCTATCCGGTCCTTTCAGTTGTTCTTTCATTCTGCCTCGAGGGAGTTGTTGGTCATAGATGTCTCTTGTAGTGCGACCTACTTGGAGGTTCATGGTTAGTTATAAGTCGAGTCATAAGTCCCCTAATATGGGTTGTAATTGCAGTTGCCCTACTTATACCTACCCATGAACCTCCAAGTAGCCGAGGCCAAGAAGGCGCGGCTGTCCAAGGAGGAGAAGGAAGCGGCAAAGCAGAGCAAGGCAGCCGAGAAAGCCGAAGCAAAGGTGAAGAAGGCCTGAGTTCGCTTCTAGGGTTTAGGGCTTTAGGGTTTAGGGTTTAGGGCCTTAGGCTAGGGTTTAGAGCTTTAGGATTTAGGGTTTAAGGGTTTAGGGTTTAGGGCTTTAGGGTTTAAGGATTAGGGTTTAGGTATATTTAGGGTTTAGGGCTAGTGCTTCTAGGCTTTGTAGGGTTTATTGTGTTTCTAATCTTACACGGTTTACCGGGTTTGTTCAACATCAGTTATTGCTATCTCCTCGTTGGAAGTGCTTTCCTAGGCTCCCATTTCGGACAACGTCCTTCGCTTAAGGCGTGCTAGTAACAAGACGCTGCTGCAGAAGAGTCATATAGTTTTCTTTCATGTATGTATACTTTGGAGTTGCAGAGAGCATGGGCCTAAACACTAGCCATCAAACACCCCGAACACGGAGCTCCCAACGGTCTGAAAACCAAGAAAAAAGTAATTAGACCCCTAGAACCCGTATGCATTATGCCTAGCGGCACAAACCCGAAACTCCTAAACCCCAAGTTCATCGAACCTTATGTAAACCTATATACACCCCAAGCCCTAAACCGTATGAGCCCTGTGGGGCGTAACCCCTTCTGGAACCGTATAAGACCCGAACCCTCATTATAGAGCCGTGCAGAACCCTTGTTTATAGACCCCTTCTGTATAGAACCCTTATGCCACATAGAACCCTTGTAGAACCCCGATTTATAGACCCTCATTTATGAACCCTTGTGGAACCCAGAGGCGGATGAGAAGAAAGCCAAGGCAGACGCCAAGGTCAAAGCCAAGGCGAAGGCCAAAAGCAAGGCCCGCCGTTGCCCTAAACCCTAAACCCTAAGCCCTAAACCCCTAAACCCCTAAACCCTAAACCCTAAACCCCGTAAGCCCCAAACCCTAAACCCGGATTCGGGTCAGGCTTTTGGGTTTCGAGCTTCGTGAGGAGTTTTGGGCTTGGGGTTTTGGGGCCCAGGGTAGGTGCAGGGGATCTTGCGTTCAGATGTGAGCCGCATGCGGAGGCGATCAAGCCTAAACCCTGAACACTAAACCCTAAACCCTAAACCCGGATCCATGGATTGCTTGCATGCGAAAATGTGTATCGAAGAGCTGGAGACTCCCCTGAAGGTATGAGGTTTAGGGTTTAGGACGATGGTTAGGGTTTAGGGTTATGTTGCAATTCCCAAGACGACAGGGACTTGAACAATTAGACTCGGTTTCTTTTGTTGGGGGTGGAATCTTGTTTCAAATCTATAGATGGTCCGGGAATACTAGATCTTGAACCCTAAACCCTAAATCCTTAAACCCCAAACCCTAAACCCCTAAACCCCTAAACCCTAAATCCAAGCCTCGTGAACATGCATCAGACCCCGGAAGCCCAAAATACAGAATATTTTGCCCTCAACACCAAATCCGAGACCCGAACCCCCCCAAGACTGCCAAGCCTTGTTTGGAGGTTCATGGGTAGTTATAAGTGGGGTAACTATACTTTTAGCCCATATTAGGGGACTTGTAGCATCTACCCATGAACCTCCAAGTAGAAGGTTACTGGGGTACATAATATAGGGCCCTAAACCCTAAACCCTAAACCCTAAACCCTAAACCCTAAACCCTATTCTTTAGGTAACATGGATCCCTAGAGTTACTTAGTTTGTAAGCCCTGAAGTCAAAACGGTTTAGGGTTTAGGGTTTAGGGTTTAGGGTTTAGGGTATTTGAACCCTCATTTGGGGCTTCGGGTTTCTGTGCGCAGACGATTGCTCCTGCGAGGCTGGAAAGAAGTCAGCGGACGAGGCAAGGCATTCAAGGGTGTGGAGTTGTTTCTGGGTGTCTTGGGGGTTTTGCTTTGGCTGTTTCTGGTCTTTACGGTGTCTGTTTTGTGGTTTCAGGGTAGTAGTCTTAAGAGGGGCTCGTCATCCCGTGCCCTACACCCTGAAACCGTGAACCCTGTAAGAGAACCCCCCCTGCTGAAACCCTGCACCGAGAACATAAGGTGTGCAACCCAAACCCTGAAACCGGTACTAGAACTTCGAAAATGTTCTTTTGAAAGACACACGACTGAAACACCGGAAAACTAAACCCTGAACCCTAAACCCTAAACCCTAAACCCTAGACCCTAAACCCTAAACCCTAAAATCTAAACTGCCCCGAATTCCAAAACGCGTAAACGAATCCTAAGCCAGAAAACACAGCCGGCAACCCTCCACACGATGTTGTATAGAGTTTAGGGTTTAGGGAACCCTCTGTGAAAAGTCTCTGTCCAGCCCTTACAAAGCCCACCTAAAAAGCCAGGAGCCCTAAAGCCCAAACACGAAATCCCCCGAAACCCAACTTGGAGGTTCATGGGTAGTTATAAGTGGAGTTACAAGTCCCCTAATATGGGTTATAATTATAGTTACCCTACTTATAACCCCACTTATAACTACCCATGAACCTCCAAGTAAGCGGTCCTAAACCCCAAACCCATATTATACTTCTCTAAATTAGGACCCCTTCTTAGGTCCACAAAACAATACTACACCCTTATATGAAGGACCCGAAAAATCAAAGGACCCTAACTTAGAGAATTACCCATATTAATATAATGTGTGCATATATATATATATCACTCTCTCTCCTCTCTCTCTCTCTCTCTCGCTCTCCTCTCTCTCTCTCTGTCTCTCTCTCTCTCTCTCTCTCTCTCCCTCTCTCTCTCTCTCTCTCCACGAAAAACCACGAAAACCCCAAA